CACCTCCCTGCAGGGGGGCTGCAAAGAGGATGGAGCTGGGCTGGTCTCAGTGGGGGCAGATGGCAGGACAAGGAGCAATGGGCTCAAGCTGCAGCAAGGGGAGTTGAGGTTGGATATTAGGAAAAACTTTCTCATGAACTGTGATGTGATGCTACTGTGCAGTAGTAAAAAAGCTACTGTGCAGTCTGTCCCCATGAAGCCGTGCGGGGACGCTACTGCACAGTAACACCAGTTACCGCACAGTCGTTTAGTCCTTGTGTGTGCAAATACTAAATGATTGCGCAGTAACAACTGCAGAGTCAGCATCTAGTGTAGATGTGGCTACGTTGCAGCAAGGGAAGTTGAGGTTAGATATGAGGAAAAACTTTCTCACTAGGAGGGTGGTGAAGCACTGGGACAGGTTACCCAGAGAGGTGGTGGAGTCTCCATCCTTGGAGGTGTCTAAGACCGGGTAGACAAAGCCGTGGCTGGGATGATGTAGTTGGGGCTGGTCCTGCTTTGAACAGGGGGTTGGACTAGGTGTGAGCTCCGGAGATCCCTTCCAGCCCTCATTTTCTACGATTCTATCTAAATCATCCTATATAAATCCTTGTCTAGCCCACTACTGAAGCTACACAACAACCCTGTTGCACAGCTACAAGGCACATTGCCAGAAGCAGCAAGGGGCTCCAAATCTGCCCCAGGTAAAGCAGGGGGATGAGGACTGGGGGTATCATGTTGTTGCAAGGGGTGTTAAAATGTGCTCGAGAGATGCAAGAGATACAGAGGCCGTGCCCCCGATGCACAGGAAGGCAAACCCCTCCCGGTGCAGACCAGTCTGAGCAGGGGGGAAATCTCTTCCGGCCCCAGCACAGTGTGGGGCCGAACCTTAGCGCAGGGCAAGACCCTCCGAGCCAGGACCCTGCAGTGCGGGGTTGGTGCCAGAGGAGCATTGGCCCAGCCCAGCCCCATCCCCAGCCTGCGCTGCAGCAGCACCCAGAAGAAGGGCAGCGCCCCGACAGCTTGTCACATTTCTCTCCCAGCTATACGTTTGATCCAATAGAAAATAACACAGAGAAACCCTTGTGCCTCCCCGGTGTTCTCAGCATTTCTCAAAATATTCTAGACTCTTCAGTGAAAAAAAATTGGGGGATGTGTATTTTTATCCCATGGGTTTGACCTAAAAATACAAGGCATTTAATTGACATCCAGAAAATTAAAAAATGTATCAGGATCTCCAAGTCTTTCCCAGGTGGTGTCCCTTGTAGCTCACTGCTGCACAGGATCCACACATAAAATATGCCCTGCCTTGAAGACGGTGAGGAATTGTCCCCCTGGTCAGACTGGTCCAGACCGGGGGGGGGTTTGCCTTCCTTTGCAGCAGGGGCACGGCCTTGGCCTGGGCTCTCTCCAGCACCCATGATCCCCTGGCAGCAGCAGGACGTTGGTGGCCGTGGCCCCCCTGCCTTCCCAGGGGTGGCGGCAATGCCTGGGGCTGTGTCGGGGCAACTTCGTGGTGTGGCTCCGAGGTCGGACACAGGGCTCGTCTGGGCTTGTTTGGACAGGGCTGATCCTGCCTCAGGCAGTGTTTAGACTGGATGTGATCTGGAGCTCCCTGCCAGCCCTGCTTTCCTCCGGCTCTGTATACAGTCTGCTGAACGCTCAAGGGGTGGGTGACGCTGTAGGAGCCGTGCTGCTGCTCCTGACGTTGCGGTCGCCATCCGGCTGATAGATGCGCTCCTTCTTTACTCTCCTGCCACACCTGGGCGGAAAGCAGATAGAAATAGAAGGAAAAACTGATTGGGAGGTGGTCTTCCTTATACACATCTGGGTCGTGACTGTGGGTCTCTTCACAGGGGTCCTCCAACCCCTACACCCTGTCCTCGCCACACCTGTGATGTTCTGGGCATGTGTTCCCCATTTTGGGACTCTCCCTCTCCCTCGTCTTCATCCTGATAATGTCCTTTTCCAGCTGTTCCGTTAACTATCCGGCCGTTGCCACCTGCAGCTGGCTTGCACTTCTCGGCTGGCTCTCTTCTTCAGGCTGTTCCCTTCACAGCCTTTCAGTTGTCCCTGACACGTGGCCGTCTGGCTGGAGGTGACATTCCTGGCTGGATCCCGTCCCTCTCGGCAGGATTGTACAGGGGGCCCCTTTAACCCCCTCACAGAGCCTAACCTTTCTGGGCGCCTTTGGCAGTGGAAAGGGGTCTCCCTCACTCCTTCTGCCCTACGAACCGGCTCCTCTCGTCTTCTGTCTCTGCAGGCCGGGCCCCGCAGCGAGTCTTCTCTCAGCCCAGCAGCCACGTTCTCCACGGCGGACATCTCCAACTCCTTCCAGCCCCCGGTGAGTACCCGTGCCCTATGCGTTGCGGTGGTATTCTGGACGTCCGTCTTCTCAGGAATCTGGTCCGTCGCTCCACGCAGTCCCCGTTGTGTTGGCGGTCCATCCTCTGGGGGCTTCCTTTCAGCCCCTTCCCCATTTTATCTGCCGGCTCCTCCCCTGGGTGCCAGTCCACCTGGCCCGACCCCCACCTGTGTTTTTTGCTGGGCCCTGGGTGGGGCTGCATTGGGAGCACCTGGGCTCCCAGCTCTCTGTACTGTCCTGCTTTTCCTGCCATGGCTGGGGTGCGGGTAAGTTTTCTCCCCTCTAGTAACAGGCACGCAGAGCAGGATGTTGCTCCGGGCTGGGGTTGGCAATGCAAAAGCAGAGCATCTCTGGCAGAATGGGCGTGTGGAAGCTGACTGGGTTAACGTGGTGTCACTGAGTGCAGCGGCCTCCAGCCTCGTGCTGTGTTTGCCAAATGCGCCGGGGACGGCATTTACCTCTGCAGCTACGCATCCTAGCCGTGCCAGCCGCCCCCAGCCCGCTCCAGACGACCTTGTGCCACCAACAGCGCCCAGCCTTTAAAGTGACTTCCCAGCTGAGACCTCGTGGGGGTAGAAGCACGGAGAGTGGCCGGAGCTCGGCTGAGAGCTTCCTCTCACCAAGCGTCTGGCTTCCAGGGGAGCAGCTGAACCCAGCACCGCACCCCGAAAGCAATTCTGGGTGTCATGCTGTTGTCCTTCAAGGGGAAGGGAGGTGGTTTAGTGCATTACTCCTGGTGACCCTTTCTGTGCCTGCTGAAGCCTGTGGCCCCCCCAGGGCTAGCCCCCCTTGATGGTTGTTTCCTCCCTCCAAACCTAGGCCTCAGCGTCTCTGGCTTCTTGGAGTCTGCAGTAAGTTACAAAGCCAGGCTGCAGCCATTCGTCTCTCTTTGCTGACAGGTGGGGGATGAGAGGAAGGGCGTGTCTGGAACTAAAGTGTGCTCTTCTGGTTTATTTGCTCAGGTACCTGTGAAGTGTGAAAGAGAGCCCTTCCCCGTCCCCATTTCAGCAGGTGAGCAAACACATGTCTTAACGGTGCGCGTGTGCTGGCCAGGGCAGGGGCAGCTCCAGCACGCCCAGCCAGGGGCTCCGCTCCTTTGCTGCTTGCAGCGAAGTAGCTGTCGCTGCCCGGGGAGGAGGGTGTGTGCATGGAAAGCGAGATTTAACAGACCCTCCTTTGCGAGCCTTCAGACTGCAGTGCGACAGGAAAGGACGCGTGCAAGAGACACACACGAGACCCGGGTAAACCCAACAAACGTTAGCGTCAGGTTTGTCGCACGCGCCTTCCTTCTGATGGCAAGACCAGGATGGCCTTTCTTGAGGGGCCACGTGTCACGTGAAGACACAACTTTAAGTAGCCTCAGGGAAGCGAATTTTGCTTCTGCGTTTACCCAAATCTAAGACTATTTCCATTTTAAGACACCGTCCCTGGTATTTAGATTCTGTAGTACATGGAAAATTAGCAATAAATCTAATTGGAGAGTTGTCTTACATGCGTACCCCTCCACTGCTGCAGCAGGGGGAACAGGTGGTGCGGCGGCAAGCAGCAGGGGGTAAAGGGGCAGGCAGCTTGATCTCTGCCTCTTGCCCCCGTACCTGTCCTTCCTGTCACTTGCCTTCCTCTGGAACAGGGATGGGCAGAGTCTGGCCCATGGGACCACTGCCAGACTTTGCCTGCCCCTCTGCCCCCACCCTGTATAATGGCCCCAGCCCCGTATGATGGCTGTTGCTCTGACTCTGGGCTGCACCTGCCTGCCCCAGGCCAGTACTCAAATCCAAGACGAGGCTTTCCCCCCCATGTTGAATGGGGATTCAGATAAATACAGTACTTGCTGTAAGCAAGATCCTTGTGTGGCTTGTGCAGCCCCGTGCTAGCCCTGTTATGATGTGGCCGGTAAGAGGGTTGTGCCTCCAGGCTGGGCATCTGTATGGCAGGAGATTGTTTCTGGCACCACCTCGGCTGCCAGGTACCAGCAGCTCCTGGATATCTCTCAAAAACACCATTATGCTGGTGTTAACCAGAGCACCGGCTTCCCCATCAGAGACCATAAAACCATGGGTGAAGGGTGCAGAGAAGGGGAACAGCTGGAGACAGAGAAAATGGTGTGGACCCCCCCCACACACACACACACGCACACATGACTCCCCGCAGATTCAGTCCCGTCCTCACGAATTGCACATCTGCTGCTTTGGTAAAGAAGAACGCGGGTGGTCGAAAGCCGCCCGCATTCTGCGCTTGCTCTTGCAAGGGGCCCTGCAGGAGCAGTGCTGGGAGCAGCTCACGTGTGTGTTTTAGAGCTGAGTGGGTGATATCAGGGGCTGACCCCATTTCACACAGCACGTAGCCTGTGGAGCAAAAAAGGAAAAGAGGAAAACTAGTAAGAAGAGAGAAAAAAGGGAGGGGAAGAAAGGCGACAGAGGAGGCTGTGCCAGTCTGGTGCCAGAGGGGCATGATGGCACACAGCCTGACAGGCCGGGAGCCCCTGGACAGGAGCACTGGCACAGTACAGCCCGCACAGGGCTGAGGCTTCTCCATCTAACATTTCATTTTCCTCCCACCATCAATAAAGGGGTCTCTCACGTCCCAGTCGGAAGGGGCGTTTGGGGGAGGTGGCTGGATCCCAACGCTCCCGAAGACAACAGCAGTGCAGCGGACACAAAGGAGACCAGTAGAAACGCGCCCACTGCATGGAGCACAGACTAGTCCTCGTATTACAAAGCCGGCTTTCTGAGCTGATGACTTTGCACTGAGCACAGTGCCTTTGTACATGCGAGCCGATCTCCTTCAGCCGCGCTGATGGGCTGGAGAAGTGATACCGGAGCAGGTTACGTGACATCGTCTTGGACTGGTAATTTAATAGCGTTCACGGGGTGAATGCCGGGCACTGTACAGCAGCCTGCTTCATCAGTGCCTTATTCAGAGTGGAGCAGTCTGCACGCTGGGGCAAACAGTACAGCGCTTGGCGCTGAAGTATCCGCTTAGCAAGTGATTGGAAGTTTATTTCCACTGAGAGAAATTACCCAAGCCCGCTGCACATGGGGGTGATGTGTACGTGGGACTCCTCCGTCCCGAGGGCCCCTGACTCGAGGATGCGGTCACCGCCCCTCTGCCATCCAAAGCCATGTTGCAAAACAAGGGTTTGGAGTAAGAGGCAAACAAGGCTTCCCCTAAAGGCATGCAGTCAAATGCCAGGGAGTCTCTGCAGCCCGGGTGGTACTCCGGGGTGGCCTGCCCGTTTTGGTAGAGGGAAACGTGTTGTGGGGTTCGATTGTGGCTTAAGGCCCTCCAGTCCCCAAACCCAACTGAAACCAAGGGGTGGAAACAGCTTGTCCTGGCTCCTCCTTGGGCCTTTTGGACACAGATGCCAAGTGCTCAACATATAGCAGGGGTGGGAAGGCAGTGAAAACCTTCCAGCTTGGTAGCTAGTGCCACTGAGTTCTGGTTATACAGGGGTCATGTTGTTCATACTTCGTTACTGATAAATACACCTCTCGCCTCCGGTCTTCTGGTGAGGTGTAACCAGGAGATCTGGCTAGGGAGAGCCTGGCCTCTTTGGCAAGATGGTAAACCCGTCGAGTCTTGTCTCCCACAAGCAATTTGTTTCTGGTATTGTGCTTTTCTGTATCACGCTGCCCAAAAATGCTATATAGGCAGAGAGGCCACTGACTTCAGTGGAGAGATTCCCATTGGCTTATGTGCTCCCTGGAGTGGATCCCAAGTGATCGAGCCTGTGGTGAAGACAGAATCTGCTGTGCAGTTGGGCCTTTGTGGGTCAGGCGTTTGGTTTTGCTGTCTCAAAGCATCCCTGGCTGCATTTAGCTCGACGATGGAGTGAGTCCGTGCCAGGCTGGCCGTGACACAGCCCTCTTCCCCGCACCCAGGTCACAGCTGTTTGGTGTCTAACACGAACGCTGCCTCGCTGCAGGACTAGCCACACGGCCCGCTGCTAAGCGTGCAAGGGCGGCGAAGGTGTTGCAACGTGGGACTCGTGGCTTTTGCTGTATGCAGGGCTTTGGGGATGGGGCCGGTAGATGGTGAGGGGTCTTTCCTTGCAGCAGCGTCATGCATTACCTGCTGCTCCTCGGACGGTGCACCGTGTCTGCGCTGCCTTTTGTTTAGCAAAATAAAACCATTTATTCTTCTAAAAAACAAGCAGCAGTCATTGCACTGGGGCGGGCTGGGGGATGTTAGCAGGCTCTGAGCCGTGTTTGCAGCAGGGAGGAGACGCGCGTGGCGCCCAAGTGAGGAGAGCAGTGACGCTGGCTGTGGGGCTGGGCGCGCTGGTTAGGTGCTAGCGGCCTAGGTTTCCATTGTGCTCTTTGACGCTCTCCTTTCCTCCGAGGCTGTGCTCGGTGACGGCCAACCCAGGGTCTGTCCTGCGTTCGAGGGAGGGAGAGACCTCTTCCACAGCCGGTGCCCTGCTGTGATTGTGTGGGCACGGTGACCCCACTGCGTGTGCCACGCACCACTTCTTCCCTGCTGCTTTCTGCTCCAGGAGCTGAGATGTGCTAAGGCCTCTTCTAACCCAGCTCTGCAATATGGGGAGGAGAAGCCCAGCGTGTGCCATCACCACCCCCGTGTTAAATTGTCTGTCTAAATGCACCTCCGTGCAGGAGTTGCTGAGGGGTGACGCACTGGGTGACCATGAACTCCTGCTGGGAGAGACTGCTGGCTGCCTTCAAGATCCCCTGCCAGTCCCTACCAGCTCAGCCACATGCGCCAGGGCTTGGACACGTGCTGGGAGGAAGGGGGCATCGGTGGCTGTGGGGCAGGGAGCGAGGGGCACGGCCTCCGCATCAGCCCTGCCTGGACCCCAATGCTGGGGGCTGCAGGGGGGAGAGGAGCAGGAGAAAACCCTGCTCGGCCCCGTCCCTCTCCCTGCAGCACAGGGGGCCAGGCAGGATGGACCTGGGTCTGACCCAGCCCATGGCAGCTCTTGTGTTCTCACGTTGTGTGACAAGGCGCTGCGGGGCACGTGCATGGGGCTGCCGTGGGGCACAGAGGGGCATGGGGAGTGCACCTGGCACCAGGAGCACTCCGTGGGGGCCTTACAGGGCCTTTGAATTCCTGGGTTTGCACCTGCCTTGGAGCCAGGTGGGGCTGGGGTGGTGAGGGCAGGGGTCTGCTCCCGGGGGTGGGGGGAGCAAGTGGCTGGGGGTGCAGGGCAGAGGGAGGAAAGTGATCATGCCCTTTCCAGGGCCAGGTCGTGGCCTCCCTGCAGCAGGGTTCAGAGCGCGCCGTTTTCCCCACGGAGACAGAAGCCCCCGCAGCGGAGGTGGCCGAGTCTGTGGGGCCGGCGGCTCTGGTGCTGCACAGCGCCCGGGGCACTCGCTCAGCACCGGCAGGCATTGCCTGCACAGGTGGAGCAGGCTCGTCCTCGTGCGAGCTGCAGGCCTGGCCCTGGCTGCCGTCGGGGGCTCCTGATCCCCCCGCGCTCACTTTGCACACAGGCATCGCAGCAGCGGGCCCCTCCTGTGCTCCAGGTCTCCACCGATCGCCCTGGTTCTCAGACTTCACACGTCCCAACATGCCTGCGTGCAGTTTTCCAGCTCTCCTCCATTGCAGCCTCCCTCACCCTCCTCATCTCTGCCTCGTCCCTAGCTGAGCCCCACACCCTGCTGCTTGCTGCCTGTGGGTCCTGCGCAGGTGGCCTTGTTCCCCTCGTTTGCTCCACAGGTCCGTGTCCTGGCGTCAGAGGTAGGAGCCTCTGCCGTATGCTCAGCTCCGGGCATGTCCCGCTCACCCCCCAGCCCCACAGGCTGCAGACAGCACCCGTTGACCCCGGAGCAAGATGGACGGACTCCGCAGCCGTCCCAAGGGGCAAGGGCTGCTCCTCTCTCTCCTGGCAAGACCTGTGCACGCTCCCTGCTGCCGGTTCCTGCCTCAGGCCTTTTGCCTAGGTCGCCCCGGGATTGTTTCTCAGTCCCCCCGTCTCAAAAATGAGACCACGTCCCAGCCAGCGCGGGGGGCCGGGCAGGAAGGCAGCCGCTGGTTCCCCCCCCAAGAGGGCTGTGACGGGGGCATGACGTGGAGGTGAGAGAAGGAAAGGGATGGGGGTTGCAGGGGCCCTGCAGCCCTCGAGCACAGCCCGGAGCTGCCTCGTTTTAGGGGGCGCAGGCTCGGGAAGAAACGAGCACGCCGGGATTCTCACCTTGGCAGCCGCGAGGCAGGGGTGTGCGTGCACGTCCGTCTGTCTTTACACAACTTAAACTGCACCGTCGAAGGGGCCGCGGGCTGGATGTGGACCGTCAGCCGTGCGCTGGAAGCCCATCCCCTGCCCTGGGCTCGCCCGCGGCCGCACCGCCCGTAGCATGTGGGTCGGTGGGACCCTGGGCTTCTGGGCTGTATCGCTCTGAATCGCGGTTCTCAGCCTTGTCAGACCCCGGCCCCGCTCGGGAAATCCCAGCTCTTGGTTTTCACTCGTTTTTTTGACTATGGAAAAAGAGTGGAGTAATTCTTGTCGCCAGGACCTCAGAAAGGTCGCAGCAGGGCAGTGCTTTAACACGGCGGGCTCCTCTCTGAAACCCCTGGTCTATCTTGGGAGCCCCGTCTGCGTGCGTGGCAGTGCTAACGCTGCGTGGCAGCCCGCGGCCCCTCGGAAGCAGCTCGCGGCATCCTCAGCCTGACCGCCGCGATGAGCTGCTGCGAGGCCTCGATGGCGGTGTTGTAGTGAGGGCTGCTCTGGATGGGCGTGGAGCACTTGGGGCACAGCTTCAGCTGGACGTGCCGGTCCTGAGCCTCGCCGGGGCTGCCGTCCATCCACCGGTGCAGGCCCGTCACCTCGAAACGTGGCCACGTTCCTCCAGCGCCACAAAGCCGGCACCCGGCTTGTTCTCGCTGCCAAAGAATAATCTGACCAGCTCGTACCTGTGGCACACGCGGCACTTCGGGGGGCGGGGCTCCCTGCAGCGGTGGCCGCACACTTGGGCCTCAGGCAGGGCTTGTTGCAGCGGGGCGGCTGCATGTTTCCGAGCAGGTCCGCGTGCAGCGGTGGTGCCTGCAGCGCCAGGTGCGGGGCTGGATGCAGGGGAAGCAGGCCTCCCCGCAGGGCTTGCGGCAGCCTCTGTGCCGGCACTTGTTGAGGCAGGCTGTCTTGCACGGCGGGCAGGTCTCGAAGCAGGGCGCCTGGCACTGGTGGGAGCAGAGGAGGACCTGGGTGCATTTCTTGCGGCAGCTGATGTGCAGCCGGCCTTGCAGGCAATCGTGGCAGGTGCCTCGGCAGCGGTGCCCGCGCCCCAGCCTCTGCTTGCGCATCTGGCGGCAGACGGGAGGTGCCGCTCGCTGGTGCCATTCAATTCTCACCTGGTGGCAGCAGGGCAGCACAACCTCCCCCTTTTTCAGGCACTTGCAGGACTGCCCGCAGTCAAGTGTGCACGGGTGCTCGCATTTCGCGCACGGCGCCTGGCAGACCCATTCACCGGCCGGCACGGAGCACGGCACCATCTGCCGGTGCCCGCACGTGGGAATCACCTTTTCCACCTCCTTGGTACAGGGCAGGCAGGTCTCAGGGCACTTCCCGCGCAGCGCAGTGTGCAGCCGCCATCGGGGATCCTGGTGAAGCCGGCGCTGCTCTTCACCCCCGTGAGGGTCTCGGGGTGGTTCTGGCACTGGGCGTCAGCCCGTCCGTCCCCCCCGAGGTTCTTGTCCTGCAGCAGCCGCAGGATGTTGGCCCACGGCTGACTCGCGGAGCCCGCGGAAATGCAGACCAGGTTGCCGATGCAGTAGAAGCTCTTGCTGGCCCAGGAGAAGGCCACGCAGAGCCGGTTCTTGTCTTGGAGGAAACCCACCCTCCCTTCCTTCTTGCTTCGCAGCAGCGAGAGGAGGAGGATGTCGTTCTCCTCCCCTTGG